GCGTTTCTAGTTGTAATGCTGAAGTTGGTGCTGATTGTGAGCCTTCACTGCTTATTCTAGGCACATATTCGAACCGCTTTCCAGCAGCTCACGTTTGCCCACAATGAAACAGGCTGGGCATGCTGCCACTTTTTAAAGCCAGCACATGCTGCTTAATTCTAAGGCTCTCAGCTGCAGTACAGGGTGGCTTCTTTTTGCCTTCCTTTCCTGTTGATGCGGAGATCAGCTTCAGACTGTTGACTTGAGTTTTTGTTCTGAGTTCACCCTGTGTGCGTGGGTCAGGTTTCATGATAGCCTCCTACCAAGCACCAGCAGGAAGATGGAAACCCCCCTGAAACGTAGGGAGATTCCCCCCACTTTATTGGAAAGTGCTGTCGTTACTGTAAAACGCTCCAGACAGTAAGGAGGTGCCGTGCCAGTGTATGTTGTGCAAGAGAAGGCGTTGGGCAAACACACAGGTCCTAGTGCCTTTTTAGCTACCTTAATCCTTTACCGAGCGGTAAGTTCCAGCTGCAAAAGCAGCTGATGCTCACAGTTCAGAGGATTAAGATTTTCCTGAATTGCTGTTTGTCCTTGTTTTCATCCCCTCTGCTGCCCTGTTAGGCAGAGAACCCCCTACGCTTATCCAGTGTCCTTTCCTTCTCACCTTCCAGTGGGTGCTCAGCCCAGCTGGCTTCTCTTCACTGGTCCATCCCATGATCTTTATATTTGTTGTGGCCTGCAGAAGTAGCTCTCTTTTTCCAGGCTTAACTCATTCTTTTGTTCTTGTTTTTTGGTTCCCCCCCGCTCCCCCACAGAAGCATTGGCTCATCATGGTGCAGCCTGTGGAAACCATAAACCTTGTGTAACCAGATAATTTGTGTTCACACACTAACTGCACTATTGTATTGTGTGTTTGAGAGGAGAGGTTTGGCTGCCTCACGTGACATTGTTCTCTGAAATGGCAGAAGGGGAACTGGGGCAGCGTAGCGTTCCCGTGTAGACAATAGGTGGTATATCAGCTTGTGCTTTCACAGCGCACTAGCTCGGTTGTGGGCTGTTGAGTCACTTTATGAATATGGAGTTATAGCTCTCCAGGCCACTGAGGAGATGGTAATATCATCACCTGTATTGTTATTTTACGCCTCTTGCTCTGTATATACCCTTATGATTAGCGTGCGACTGGGGCCTTACAAAAGTCTGCTGCAGCATTCCCGTTGGCTTTAGCGTGGCCTGGGTTTCTGCTGGTTCCAGCAGACGTGTCAGCTGCTAGGTTCCTCCCTCAAAACGCAGAATGGTACAATTGTGCCCGAGGAGAAAGAGAAATTTCCTGTTGCCTCCTAATAAGATCTGATTAGATCGCTGTAAAAAGCCTGCCTGCCTGACCGGCTCTCGCTCTTGTTCGGGAGGGTGTTCTAATAAATGGCTGTTTGAAATTAAGTGTGTCGCGTGCAGGCGCTGATGTTTACTGTCACATCAACCAGGGAGATAAGGTGCCTTCTCACTCTATTATAAAACAACAACAACGAAAGCAGCTCCGCTGGCCAAAGGCGAACGCAGTAAGTGACGGTGTCGCTGTGAAAACACGAGGTGCTGCCCCACAGACCAGAGCTGTTTCAGCTGTTTGACGGTGCTGTATTTTCAGCAGTGTCGGTGGTGATGTTTCATGCCGGTGAACTGTACCCTTGTTTAAAAGCAACCAAATAGTGCTAACTGACTGGACGCGTCCTCTCAGTCAGCACGCGGCTGTTTTGGGTTGCCTTCCTTTGCAGTTATTCCTTGACAGACCGTTGGTTGTGGTTCCCCCAACCTTTAACTTTCTGATGCTTTTTAGCTCTGTCTTACTGATGCGCCTCACACTCTTCCTCTCTCCTCCCTCTTCCAGTGTAATAGGTAAGGACTGGTAATTGTCTTTATGGAAGTTGTAATGAGTTCTGTCACCGCTCACTAATAATGTAAATCAAAGCAGCAATGAATGAATGGAAAGCATGCTTTTAAAATTAGATTTGTACTGCAAGTGCCACGCTGTCACTTGCAGCATGAGAGAATATTAAAAAGGCACTGAGTTGGCAGAGTACATTGAAAGGTCATGTGGGGTTTGCAAGCTTACCCTTGCTTCCATGCAGCACTGTAATTGCAGCACCACTGGAGAGTAAATATTTTCAAGTATGGTTAGAGAGAGAGCATGTAAAATTGATCTTAGATTGTATGTGTTTGGTAACTCGGTTAAGTAGCTTTTCTTATTTCATTACATTTGTTTATGTAACATCTTCCTCTGCGCCTAGAGTCTTCTAATGCCAGCTGCTAGGAGCTCTTGGCCCAGCACATCCTCAGCTCTGTCTAGCTTCCCCTGCCCCGTTCATCTCCGATACCCGCACATCGGGTATGTGCTGTCTGTATTGCTTCATGAGACAGAAACCCACAATGCTAGGACAGTGCTCTCCCCTCTGTCTGCGCGTGGACTGTAGGGGTGAATTTCTCATGTTACTTAGGGAAGCCGTGTCTTCTGGGGGGACGCGCATGCAGGAAAGCCTGGCTGGAAGCCTTACCTTAGAGATCGAGGGTAGGTAAGGAAGCGGGTAGGCAGGCAGTGAGGTTCAACGCTAGGGTAACAAGCTGCTGGTGTTGTAATTCAGGCTTTTGTCATGCTAAACTGCAGTCACCTTTGAACTAATAGGACACTAGTGATGCTAGGTTCAGTGCACAGTGTAAAAATGTTGGTTGTTGAGGCAGTTGTGTTCATGATCGCACAGGACAGGCCTGTGTCTTGGTCTCTGTTTAGGGGAACCTACCGCAGCTGTATTTTCAGAGGGGTCTTGGGTGCGATGGTTCTCTTGTGGGCAAGAAAGGAAGGGGTCTGCTGATGCTTGTATATTCTGCTCTCCTGCTTCTTTTTTCCTTCCTCTTGTGTGTACGCAGAGTAAATGAGATGGGGCAATAAGTCCACGGAAAATAAGGAGAGGTAAACTTGATTCGAGATCTTCACCTCTGTCTCTGCTCCTCTGACCTCCATGCAGTGTTAATGCCCCATCGAAGAGGACACTGCTGGTTTAGCTGCCTGGAGCGAGGCAAGAGGCAGCATCATTTCTTGGCCCTTGAAGCATCCTTGAGCCTTGAACTGCAGCCACTGCTAGCGCAGATGCTCTGCAGCTCTCCCAAGCTAGTGTGTCTGTGCAACTAAGCTCGAAACTTCTCCAGCTGTTTCTGCAGTTTTTTATGCTTTCCAAGTTCTGTACCTTTTGCAACTTGCAGCTTATCGCAAAAAAAAAAAAAGAAAAAAAAAAAGCCAGGCAGATCTGTTGCAGCTCTTAAAGCCTTGCACAAACCATTTGTGTAATGGAAATGCAAAACATCCCCAAATTCATGTTTCTCAGTCTACCTGTTAATGTCCTAGCTGAGAAATTGTATTGTGGCCCTGTGTAATAAATCACAGCCACCACAGAGTAAGAATTATTTCTGATATAACTGGAAACTTCACGTAAGTTGAGTGCAAGTCTGTCCTTTTGCATCTTTGCCTCTTCTGTAGCAGCTTGTTAAGACGCAGCAAGGACAAAAGGAATGAAATTCTGTCAGAGTGTTTGTCAACTTTCTTCTTGTCTTTCTTACTATAACGACAGGTAATTAAGTACCCTGAACTATGGAAGTTGCCTGTGACAAATATTCCGCTAACTGAGAGTAACCAACCTCCATTAAGTTATACACAGTCAGCAAATGACTGTAATTATTAGGGCCAGTAGACAGAGCTGAAACTCCAGAGGACTTTAGTGTCAGAGCTAATAATTATGCAGCAGCTTTGGCCAAATATTTCTCTTCCTAGCTAAGTATTTAATATTGTCACCACAGAATATTAATGGAATTGCCTACTGTGTGTGAAGCTGTTGACTAAGCTCATTGTACAGTGAACTGCAGTGGCTCAAATTAGCCACACTGAATGGAGATATCGAGAATACCGCATCAGCTTGCAGCACCAGCGGCCCCTTTCATACTGCTGCTTTAGGGGCATTAACATAAGATGTAGGGACAAAATGAAGGGCAAGACAGTGTCGTGCTTCCAGAATTCAGAAGGTGTTGTTTTGCATAGCGAAGGATACTTTTTCGTTAATTATCGCTTAGGTATCTCCGGGGAGTACATATGGAAGTATGTCTTAAAGCTATCAAAATAGATTAGCTGGTTGAGAAAACACGTCCTTTGACTTAACTTCCTTGAACAAAAAGGTTACATCCATGCTATAAATAAGGAATAAAAGAAAGTTGTTGCAGGATGTTGCCATAGAGTGAAGTCATTCCAGATAGGGGGGAAAAAACCTTCCTGACCTAATCAAGGCATTCATCAAGCATCGCGGTAGCATTCTTCAACCCGCAGTGTGTTCCGGTGACTTTCCAAGGGCTTTTTTTAAAGCTGTTTTCACCAGGCAGGGATTTCTACTTAATTGTAAGGTTGCAAAAACAGTAAGTACGTGTCAGCAGTAAAACCATATTAGCGATATCCCAGACTTTGCAGTGATAACCACAGGAAAAAAGTAGCAGTGTTTGCTGTTTTGGCACTTAAGCAGCCTCTTGAGTTTCCTGGAGTGTTCTGTGTAACACGTGGCCTGCGCTGCAGAGGTGGCCTCCCTTCTACAGAACTGTTATATAACCTAGGCCTAAGATCTTATATGGCAGTCCAGTTTAATCATTATGGTTACCATTGCTGTAATAACGTGTGTTCATTTAAAAAGTGTGCTGCGTGCTGTTCTCTGGGTGCTTGGATTTTGTTTCTTTTCTTTTCTCTGAAGAATGCGAAATTAAACTGTTTAGCCACTGGGCTTCATAGCATTTGTGCTAAATCAAGGCTTGCATGGTTCTGAGCAGCTAGTTAGAGGATTTGAGACTAATGGAAGGGGGGAAGGATATTTGGGAAAGAACATACTTTGAAGTAAAAAATCTGGATTAAGCTTTTTCATGTCTTGAAAGCCTTTTTTTTTTTTCTCCTTTTTTTCCTCCACGTAACCAAGAGTGAATCTCTCTCTGCTGTTCCACAGGTATGGATGTGTGGGGGTCGCATGGAGGACATCCCTTGCTCTAGGGTGGGCCATATCTACAGAAAATATGTTCCATACAAAGTTCCAACAGGAGTCAGCCTGGCAAGAGTAAGTGGCAGTGATGTTCCTGTTCCTCCTCCTCCTGTGCATGATCGGGTGCCAGCCTCATAGAAGGCTCTGCAAAGCAAAGCTCTCTTCCGTTTTCTCTGTCTCTTAAGCTATGACACATCTTACATCTGCATGACCGTGCAGTTTTCTCCTGTCACCCCACAATGGGAGGCAGAGTTAGGCGTTGTAGTATATACAGCTGTAGCTGTGCAATGGGCAAACTGAGCAGTTTTAGCAGAGGCGGATGTCTAGCATAAAGGGAGGTGAGCCTAGGAGAACTGCAGTCTCTTGTGCAGGCAGCTGCCATGCTCAAGACACCAGCCATTGCAAATTGTCAGGATGGGACTTTGTGATCAGGCATTGACTGTGGAATCTCCAATAAAAACAAGATAGGACTGTATTTGTGTGATAGTTGAAATTTTATAGCTGTGTATGAGCAGCAGGCTGCAGCATGGTGATTGTGTTTTGGTGATTGAAATACCTCTCAGCTTCAAGTGTCACAGTCCACTGGATGAGCGCGCTGTAATTCTCCATGATAGAAATTTCTGTGCCATCTTATTTCTTAATTTAGTGTAGCCCAAAGAGAAAGAAGCCCTTGCTTATCATGCACTAGCTTTCTCCAGTTAATTTCCAAATTGAGAAGGGTTTACATTGCCCTCTGGTGGGAGGAAAAAAATCATACGCACAGGGAGGCTGCAAAACTAAAAACTTCACAAAGAGACCTTGCTGTTCTTGTAGTCTTATGGCTTGCATAGCATTACAAAATTTCTCAGTTTAATAGCTTCACCCTAGTTATAGATCTGAATTTTATTCCTCTGCCCAGCAACGACCTGTCAGAGGGATGGACGCTGTCCTGTCTGTGCCTCCTCTTCAGGAAGGAGCTGTATTTCTTTTGATCAAGCGTTTGAGTCTTGCATTTTCCCACAGCGCTGGAAGAGGATGGGGGCAGGTGCAAGGAAGGCTGTTTCCTGGCATCCGAGATCGTAAAGGCAGCTTGAGATGAACGCCTGGTCTTGCTTTGCGTAGGTTGTGTTTGAGGCAGTGTCAACGTGCTACTTGTTCTTAACATCCTAGTCTTTTTGGTGGTGAATGGCCTTGGAGAGGTGGACAGCACTGCTGGGTGACTGAAGTCGTGACTGCATGTCACATTAGTGTGTTGTGGCACCAAGAATGAACCTGACATTACCAGAAAAGAAGTCCAAAGTCTGAAGGTCTCCTGAATGTGTTGTGTCAAGCAGCAGGGCGTATACCTCGAGAGGGTGGTGCTCAGTGCTGACTTGGAATTGCAACATGGATTAAAATACTGCTTTAGGATTGCAGTGATGCTTGCATTCCCTGTGTGCAGTTATGTCTGTTTCTCCCAAAAGAAGAGACAGAAGTCTCCTTGCAGAGCCAGTACAAAGCTTGAGTTAGTATTCATATGAAAAGCATGATTTTAAGGGTATATTTTAATCTAAAGCAATGTGAAATACACTGCTGACTGGAAGTAAATCCATTGCTTCTGTTTTGAAAGGTCATCATCTGAAAGATGTACATTCCTACTGTATCTCTGAGTTTTTCTTAAATTGTTTTTTGCACAAGGAAGTAGAAAAATAGTGGCAGGAGAGAATGTTGTGAACTTATGCTTTCCAGAATGGGGGACTGCAAATCCCGCTTGCAGAGGGATATAAAAGATGCGGTAGGAAGGACTTAAGGAAAGTGTTTTGTCAGGACCTTTGAATGTTCAGTGGTATTTACCAGCATCACTGTCATCTACTTTTTGGAAAAAAGAAAAAAAAAAAACTTTTGACTACTGTTGTTTTCTTGGCCACGAGGAACTAGATATAATGGCAAGGTGTCAGAATTCTGTTCTGACCTCAACTGAAAATATCTTTCCAAGTCCCTTGGAACTAGAGAATAATAAAAATAATCTTAGTCCTAAAGCTGGAGAGAGAGTGGATATGAAAGAAAATCCTTTGTGAGCAAAACCACAAGAGAGCTGTTCTGAATGCTGATGTCAACAGCTTGTGCAGAGTTCTCATGTAATTTCCCCCCTCTCATTTTCACACACATGGCCGTTACCCACACAGAACTTGAAGCGTGTGGCCGAAGTGTGGATGGACGAATACGCGGAGTACATATACCAGCGTAGACCAGAGTACCGGCATCTTTCTGCAGGGGATGTGGCAGCTCAGAAGGAACTTCGCAACAACCTCAACTGCAAGACCTTCAAATGGTTCATGAATGAGGTCGCGTGGGACTTGCCAAAGTTTTACCCACCAGTGGAGCCTCCAGCAGCTGCTTGGGGAGAGGTAAGCTCAGCAAGTTCATGCTCTGAAATCTGCAGTGGGCAAACAGGCTGCAGTTTCGTTTGTTAAACCAGCATTACCTCTGTGCCCGTTTGCTGTGAGTACGGTGGCATGTGGGTGTTTTTAAAGATCCTGCTTGGTGTGTTTTGAAGACCAGAATTCCGATGGCGTTATGTTGGCCTGCTCAGAGGGCAACAGCAGTTGCAACTGTTTATGCAGCAGTTACTGTTTGTGCACAGCTGCAAGGAGAAACTTGGCTTGTTTGGCACATTGTGTATTTAGTAGAAGGCAAAAGACTCCACAGGAAGGACGAGGATTAGGAGGCAGCTGAGCAATAATAGAAATTGTATATCTTCAAAGGGCTACACAACTGTTTTGAGCTACTCTGCTCCTTAACTTTCCTATCTGTAAGCCAGGAAAGCCATACCTGGCTTTGAAAGTCAGCTGTACTTACAGAGAAGAATCACAAGGCTTGGACTGTTAAACACAGCAAAACAGTGGGCTCTGCACTCCTCTAACTGATGGTTTGCTGTGTCTTGCAGGTTATTGTATGGCTTGAAATGGGTCCCATTTTGAGTTCCAGTGCTTTCCTTTCAGCTGCAGTCTGCCAGCTCAGTTGTATAGTTAAGTGAGAAATCTTAAGCCTGTCTTCATACAAATACTGCCACTGTTTGAAGCAGCTTAAGCCTTCTTTCCTGTTGGCTGTAACTTGGTAAGAGTTAGGAGATTTAATGACTACTTTACTGTTTCAGATACGCAATGTAGGAACTGGATTGTGTGTGGATACTAAGCACGGAGCCCTGGGATCCCCACTGAGGCTGGAAAGCTGTGTGAAGGACAGAGGAGAGGCAGCATGGAACAATGTGCAGGTAATAGTCCCTCTGATAACCCATCTGCTCCTAAACAAACTTTGGGAAGGAGAAGGTTACATGAAGAAACAAGTGTCTGTCTTTTAAATCCAGCTGGAGCATGATAATAGTGCTGCAACGGCCGTCACTTCTCAAGGGAGCAAGGTGCAGGGCTCTGCCAGATGAACAGGGGGTGCTGGGCACCCCAAAGCCCATATACTAATTATACTTGATTGACTCTGTAGCAGGATGTGGCTTGTGCTTGTGGCAGGGTCTGGAACCTGGCAGACTGTGTGCAGAGCTTTTCCCCCATGCTTTGAAGTTCTCCGAATGAACAAAGGAAAACACAAGAAAACAATATGCCAAAATAATAAAAGAAACCAGTAACAAGGCAGCAGTAATATGTAACAAAGTGAATTTTAACTTCAAAGGTTGCACTGAAAGAAGTGATAGAGGAGCATCATGCATATTAATGAACCTGCAGGTGCATTCAATAACCACTTACTATCATCCTTCTGACAGGAGGCAAATGCATTATAAACACCCAACCATTGCTGGAGAGAGACGAAGCCGGTCAGGCTATAGATTCACCCCCTTGACATATAAGGTGCCAGAAATGACAGCTTTATTATAACAGAAGGGAGGGAAACATTAGTTTGTCTAAACTAGAGCAGGTGAGCTGAGAAAAGATGGAGAAAACAATGCCTCTATTACGAAGCCACACATAACTCTTCAGGGGAATGGCTTCAGTAGTAGGACATAAAGGGTTGTTGCATTATCAATTTTGATGCATGAAAACTAGAAATGAAAACTAATTTACTCAGGCACAATTAGTGTTGGCTTACATTTAGGAAGAGAATGTGCTCTGGATTTTTGTGTAGCCTGAGCCTAAATGGTTGTGGTAATTTCTCTTGCAAGAGAGGAAAGGGACAGAAACAAAGCAGCTGCTTCTTGCAAAAGTTTTTGGCCGTGTTGCTTCAAATATTAGTTCCTTGCTCTTTGCTGATCTTTTTTTACTGCCTCAGGAGATCTTTGTAAAGAGAGATCTTTTCCCCCACCTGGCTCCGAAAGGAGCCCCCAGAGCAGCCCCTGCCCCTCAGGGAGTGAGAGGGAGGGAGGTGTGCTGGCTGGTAGCCCTGCAGCGCTGCACTGGCTAGTGCTGGTCGTGGGAGGAAACTTGCACCCTGCTAGAGATGCTGTTCTTGTCAAAGTGGAAAGCAAAACATCAGCACGTGCATTTAAACAAGTTTGTCTCTTCTGGGATTTAGTGCTACAGTGCTTAAAACATATAAGCCAAGCCATGATCACTGGACTGAAGATGGAGCTAGACCTGCCTCAGGCAGTGGCCAAAAGCAGATGCCAAGCGAAGAGTACTAGGAGCAGAGCACGCGTGTGGTGTTACTTCCACTGACCTCCCAGCTTCCAACACTGTGGCCTAGGGGATTCCAGGCCTCATCTGCTGGTATCTGGCAGCTTACACCAAGGCCAAGACTCTGCTAGGTGTTGATAGGTTATGCCTAGTTACTAGAGCTAACACCCTTTTTCTTTTCTGCAATAACTCCCTCCCTTTCAGTTCACTGCAACAAAGAAAGGGATCAGAAAATGTGAGAGATCATTGCAGGGTCAGTAGAAGAGAGCGCCAGGAAGCATTTCGCTCGTGTTTGCTTGTCTCGTACTCCTGTGGAGTGGGGTGGGGAGCTGTGGGCCCCCTGGTTTCTTGTCCGAGAAGACATAGGGACACACTCCTCGCAAGGTGACTGCAGGCTGCTTGTGCAGAATAGGGTGTTTACTGACAGTATAACTCAGAGCTCTTGTAGCTCTCGCCCTTTTTTGCTAGCTGGGAAACACTGTAATTGGTCAGCTGCTCGCTTAACCCGTGAGGTGTGTCTGCATTGCGGAGACGCCCAAGGCTGCCGTTAGTACCCAAGCTAACTTGCGTGGCTGTTTGCAGCAGCACAGCCTCATTTAGCATGCTGGGTGGCAGTCTGTGGGGTAGCTGATACAGTCAGTCCTGGTCAGCAGTCCCTGTCCCCAGAGGTGGAATTAGTTTTTCTCTGGAAGTTTTGTCCTTTCCCTGAAGCGATCCCCACCCTGTGGGCAAAGGAGGGAATGTCAGTCTGCTGGTGGAAGCACCGTTCCCTGTACCTGCTGTACCTGTTTATCTTGGCAGATATTCACCTTCAGCTGGAGAGAAGACATCCGTCCTGGGGATCCTCAGCATACCAAGAAGTTTTGTTTTGATGCCATTTCCCACAGCAGCCCTGTGACCCTCTATGACTGTCATGGAATGAAGGGGAACCAGCTCTGGAGATACAGAAAAGTGAGTGTGTGTGTGTGTATTAAAGTGTCAAATTGTCCGTAGGCACCTGGGTTTCCTTAAAATGACGCCACACGTTTTATTCTTCTTTCATGTGGCTTTAGTAAGAGTATTTGTGGGCAGTTTGTTGTCAGTGTGTCCTCAATTAACCTTTATTAGAAAGAGGCAGCTCCCCTGTTCCTCCAGTTAGAAATGCTGAGCCCTGTTCCTCCAGGGCTTGCTAAGTAAAAGGACGCTCTCCTTGCAGTCCAGTCCACAAGTGGCAGTGAGGTGGTGCAGCACCCTCACAAAACCTTTTTGCATGCAGATGTGCTATGTTTATTGTTTTCTTTTGAACACCAGAAGATTATGCCAAAGTTAAATAAGGCGTCATTGATCCTTCTAAGCAATGCTTATGTGCTAAACTAGTGAGTAAGTTTTTGATAAATGCTCTGTCCTAGTTCTTGCAATCTGTATGCACAGTGCCATGGAGTGCCCTCAGCAGAATGAGCCTCTAGGCTGGAGAATCCAGCTTTAGAAACAGCTTTTGAGCTTCCCAGGTCAAATATGAGGATTGGGCTGGATACTGTTGCTAGGGTGGAGGGTAGGGGGAAGGGGGCGGGCTGGGGAGAGAAGGTAGTAGCATGACACGCGCCAGACAGTTAAGTGTGGAGCAAGTTCTTCAGTTACGTGGAAGGTGATAAAAATGGCTTGTTGTGGCATTTTGGCTTCTTTCTGTTGGTTTTAAAATGCCTGTGCTTCTCCAGTTGGCAACTTCACTTCAAACTTCTCTTCTGCAGGACAAGACCCTCTACCATCCAGTAAGCAGCAGCTGTATGGACTGCAGTGAGAGTGACCGAAAGATCTTTATGAATAGCTGCAATCCTTCATCTCCAACACAGCAGTGGATATTTGAACACACAAACTCAACTGTCTTGGAAACATTTAACAGAAATCTTGATCTTTAAAAGACTGGGAATATATATATAAAAAAAAATTATAGTTTTTACTGGAGAGGATTACAAAAATTTTTTTAAGAATAATTTTTTTTAAAACAGTTAATGAAGGTAAAAGGGAGAATCTCAGGAGAAGGTGTTAACTAGCAGGCCAGTCTTTATTGTGAAGATGCTGCATCCTTCTCCTCTGGGGATGGTGGAATTCAAAAGGCTTTTCCAGAGCCACTTCTGTGTTGAGACTGGAACAGAAACTCTGTTTAGAGGAGCCTGAATGTGATTCAGACTTTTTTTTTTTTGTTACTGTTTTACTTCCCAATCTGGGTCTGTTGTAAATGATTCTGTTCTCAAGGACCCTTGAAGTACAGTACTTCTTGTAGTTGCTTTACCACCTGCTGAAGCATTCACACACAGGTGCTTTACTTTCCGAAGTCCATCTAAGTAAAATCAAGATTCCAGTCCTTCAATGTCATGGATATATTAAAAAAAGAAAAAAAAAAAAAAGGACATCAGAATGTAAAATGAAATTAGTAATTTTTTTTGTCCTAAACCAAACAACATTTTAAACAGATCTAGTGTTATTAAGTTCCAAATGATAGCTCTGATAAAGGAATGCACTCTAAAGGATGTGCGGCCAACTGTTGGAGATACCACTGTAGTTATGAGCAATGAAGAATCTGGGTTTCTGGTCCATTCACTTTGCAGTCAGTTTGTTGCTCACTGTTGAATCATCAAGGTGAAAAATTCAGAGGGCTATTAGCGAAGGCAGTGCTTAAAGGTTCACTAAGAGCTTTTGGGTATCAGGTTCCAAATTTGCCTCTCATTCAGCAGCATCTTAGCATGGACACCTTTAGGGTTTCTCAGAGTTAAAACTATATAAAGCCAATCTCCAGATTTCCTTTAGAGATGTAAAGGCTAATTCAATTTGCAATTGGTGTGAGCAGACTAATTCAGGCTCAATAAGTCTGGGCTGAGATTAGCCATTGGTCTTTATCTGTTTGTTCATCAGTCTGTAGTTTATTCCAGGCATGAGTTCTGTGGTCAATGGTGTTGCTAGGCTTGAGGGAATGTGCTATTAATCTTTGCTTCTTTCCCAGTGTCCACAGCATGTACAGTTTAGTGTGATTGGAAATCTGTTTACTTAAGCTGAGATATGGAATTGGTGGGCCAGTTTCATTGGTACCACAGAATCACAGAATGGTTGAGGTCGGAAGGGACCTCTGGAAATCATCTAGTCCAACCCCCCTGCTCAAGCAGGGTCGCTTAGAGCACGTTGCCCAGCATCCTATCCAGATGTCTTTTGAACATCTCTAAGGATGGAGACTCCACAACCTCTTTGAGCAACCTGTTCCAGTGCTCTGTCACCCTCACAGAAAGAAGTTTTTCCTCATGTTTTCCTCTGATGGAACTTCCTGTGGTTCAGTTTGTGCCCGTTGCCTCTCGTCCTGTCACTGGGCACCACTGAGAAGAGTCTGGCCCCATCCTCCTGACACCTTCCCTTCAGATACTTATACTCAGTCTTCTCTTCTCCACGCTGAACAGATGCAGCTCTCTCAGCCTTTCCTCATAGGAGAGATGGCCCAGTCCCTTAATCATCTTAGTACTCTGTCCATTGTGTAGTCAGTCAGCACTGCAAGGCATTTACCCTTCTGGTTTCACTGCAAGGCATTTACCCTTCTGGTTTGGCTGCAGGATCTGTCAGATACTGAATGAGAATTGTCTCATCCCAGAAGCTGGAAAAAAGTACTGATACTGAGAGATGAGTAGGAGACCATTGACTTCAAGTCCATCTGAAGTGAGTGCATATTAAGAAAAAAAAGTTTTTTAAAATGAATTGTTACAAAAATAGACTTAATAGTTTATCAGACTTAAGTCTTGTACTGAAAATAGGTGCGATATTTTCTAGTAAAAACTGTGAATCATCATGCAGTTAGCCTTTTGCAAAGATGCTGCATAAATCGATAAAATTAGCCCTTTTCCAACAACTGCCTGGCTGCACTTTGTCCAGCTGCCCATGCAAAGAATGCTGCAGGAGGAGGCAGCGTGCAGTGGAAATGAAAGCCTGAAACGCTCTTGGGAAGAGCAAGATAGCTCTCTGGGACTCTGATACAACATGGTTAATGGACTTCCCTTCCTTGGAGGGGCATGAAAGCTCTGCTTTGGGATATCTTTCTCCCCTGTGAAGTCAAGGAGGTTTTTGCCTAGGGTCAAGAAACAAGCAGGCATTCTCCCTGCTATGTAGAGTCCAGAAATAAGCCCTTTCTTATGTTGCCAGTTGTAGGATTATTGTCCATGTTTCAGACCCCCTTGAGGCTGAGCGGTTCTGTGTTTGGAACCTAGGAGCAGAACAGGACAGAACCAGCTGCCTCTTGAGCTGTCAAGTCTGATGCATTGATTGCCAGTTAGGCTTAAAATCACTTCTGCCTCTTGCTGCCTTGAGCTGAGCCCATCTCTGACCTGTACTGCCAACTCACCTGGCACATGCAGTCACAGAGCAAGGGAAACACAGGCACTGCATAGCAGCTAGACTGAGGTTTGGCAAATATATTGCGGTCTCACATCTTGGGAGTGAAGAAAGGAAAAAGTCTCTTGACTAGGTGTTCTTTGTGACAGTTTTGCAGCAGCATTTCTGTGCAAGTGAGGCCAGTGTCAAATGGAGTTGACATCTTAAGTTCTCTGTAATTACAACATGTCTGTCATTAGGAGCCCTTTTCATTCCTGTGGGAGAGAACACCGGTTTCCCTTGCTTTGTGCCTGGCTGTTGCTTTTCTTAAGTTATTCATGCTCTCATTAGTCTAGTAGTGCTGACTGTGGATTGCTAAATGGCCTGACTAGATGTCTTTACGTATGTTTTAACACCTATGGAATAAGAAGCTGTTTGTCCATGGACAGTGCCAGTTTATTATAATTGGAACACAGTCAGTAAATGGTATATAAATGGACTGCAGGTCATTCTGCTTGCAGCTTGCAACATTGGCTGTCTTAGTTTTCTAATGAGAGGATTAGCTTCTGTTGCTAAAATGCATGGCATGCTTTGTACTTGGGCTCACCTTGGGAACAGGGCTTTGGAGTCCTAGCTGCTTGGCTTGCTGGATGCTTGCTTCAGAGAGAACTACAATAATGAGCAGATCTTTTACCTCTTAGTAATGTCAATTTGGTGAGAAAGGACAGCTCTTAGCAGCATGCACCAGAAGATTAGGTAATACTGAGGCAGTTCCTGTTTGACAACTGATCCGCCAGTACGTGGAAACTGGAGCTTTGGTGTGAGTGGTCCCACTGTATTCTTCTCAGTACGGTTGATCAGATCTGTTTTCCCAAACTTTGGGATCTGAGTGTAGTAAGTGCCCCACAAATTCAGTGCCGTTCTGACTGGCTCACTGGGCTTTGAGCTATTAATTTATTTACATCAATTATACTTTTCAATACCCTAGAGGCTTTGCTGACTAATGAGAAGACTTAATATAGCCAGCCATCCACTGATGGAGAAATAGAAGCTATATTTCATCGTCTGCATCTTTAATTGAGCCTTTGCTGGGCAATCTGGTTAATTATTCCAATTACTTTTGGTTATTTGTAAGCAAAATTGCTAAAGCATGAATATATAAGCAAATCTTCACATCTGCATGCACGTCAAGAGTGGAGATTAAATACCAGTGATTATCTAATGCAAAATAAATGCTTTTCTTTTTTTTTTTCCCCCAAAGTATTCAAGCAACCCCTCTATCCATGGCTGCATAAAGTCTGCTACTTCTTAATAT